TAGATTATTCCATAAACGCCTGGCTCCTGTAGATTAAAAACAATTCTCATGGATTCACTGGCTAAAAGTTTGTTTTAGGGGTGAGAACAAAAATATGTGGACTGCTTGTAGGTTTAGGTTCATTTAGCTGGATAAAAACCTGAATGGTCAGCCTACTCTGTCTGGAAAGTTTGATGTAAGAAAAAGATATACATTTTCTTTGTGTGTACAAACAAAGCATTAACCCATTTAATCCCAAAGGTCACAATAGTGACCATAAAAACGGTTTTCATTTATAAAGATCTTACTGACTGATGCTTTAGTGCACTTCCTGCAAATATGAAAAAAAAAAGAAATAATAAATAAAGGGTCTCAATTAAATATGTGCAGTTTCACATGATTAGTGCAAATTGTCACATGACCAGAGCAGTTTATTTCCTGTTTGCACCTTGAGAAGATGATGACTGCATCAAAGCTCCAAAACAAAAGGCTATGTTAACATAAAGATATGACATGATATATGATGATCTTTTTTATTATCTTTAAGGTGTGTAGCATTTATATATGTATTCACGTATATCCTGTTTTGTTGAGTGTGGTCATAGAACGAGTAAACATCTTGATGGTCACAATAGTGACTGGTGGGATAATAAAGCAATAAGCCCCAAGAAGCCGTGGTTTACAGTGAATTTATAACAGCTAAGGGGCGTTGTTAGGTATGACGTGGAGCGGAGTGCCTAAAACCCCCTTAGCTGTTATAAATTCACTGTAAACCACGGCTTCACGGGGCTTATTGCTTTTATAAAACGGTTATTCCATATACATAGTAAGGTTTCACAAAATAAAACAGAGCAAATAAAGTGTAATGATAATAAAAACATTCTTTCGCCAAACAATGTAGTTCCTCAGAAACGGTTGTGGTTGCAACAAATTGGTTGCCGAGCAACACACAGACGTAAACAAAGGTGTACATTTGTAGAGTAATTTACAACAGCTTTGAACCTCAACCAATCAGAATCAAGGACCGGAACTTTTTCCCGGAAGGGATTTTTATGCACAATAGTAACCCTAGAATGTGCTCAAACAGTTTAAAATAGCTGGGCTAAGATATATAACCATTTTTATGACTGCAGAAATATGTTAATTCAGTACACACATTATCCCACCGGTCACAATTGTGACCGACCATAAAACACAATTTTTCACACACTTTTCCAAAAAATTTCAAAGGGATTATTTCAAAGGGTTACTAATGACACATCATTTAGATATTTTCATGTCTGGGAATTAATTTGAGATTAAACGGGTTAAAGTTTCTATTAAAATAAAGTTAACCACAGACCGTAAAGGAATAGTTCACCCAAAACTCGCTCTCAGATCATCCAAGATGTAGATGAATTTGTTTCTTCATGGGAACAGATTTGGAGAAATTTAGCATTACATCACTTGCTCACCAATGGATCCTCTGCAGTGAATGCGTGCCGTCAGAATGAGAGTCATATAATGATATAATTGGACAATAATCCAAAAGTAATACACACAAAGTCTCCAGTCAATCAATTAATGTCTTGTGACGTGAAAAGCTGCATGTTTGTAAGAAACAAATCCATCGAGATTTTTTTTTATTTTTTACTTTAAACCATAATAATGTTTCCTCCAATGAAAAAGCCAATTTCCTGTTGTCCTCTCACATCTAAAATCCACCGACATATTTGTTCAGAACAAGTGATTTGGACTGTTTGCGATTGTAAATGGTGCTTGATCTGTGCATATTTCTCTCCTGGTTCAGACTAAACGACTTTTTCACCAGAGAAAGCAATATTATGGATAGTGGACTCATATTTTAGCTAGAGTTAAAAATGTATTTGTTTATTACAAACAAGCCTTGCTAATTACAATGCTTTTTTTTTTTTACTGCACAACACAAAACTGATGGACTGGAGTCGCGTGGATCCATTGGTGAGCAAGTGATGTAATGCTTAATTTCTCCAAATCTGTTCCCATGAAGAAACAAACTCATCTACATCTTGGATGGCCTGATGGTGAATACATTTTCAGCAAATTTTCATTTTTGGGTGAACTATTCCTTTAACATACTCATAAATCGAAAACAGCTACACTAAAAACCCATTGGGAATGTAATATATTGCATGTAAGCATCACATTGGACAGTTGTTTGCTATTACATCACAGACTGACATCATACACTGATCTTTTTTTTGTTGATTACTGATCTCACATTTAATTAAACCTGTCTTCTTATCATTTTACCTCCACATGATTGCTTTTGCCAAACCTGATGACTTCAAAGCTAAGCCTAGTGATGCTGGGCCTGTGTTTGCACTAACTAAATTACTCCAGCCATTTCATTTCTCGGGCTGTGTTATATGCTGACTATACTTATCACTGGTGTTTAAATATGATCTCCTCTCTTCAGGTTTCTGTGACTGAGATAAAGACTGTCTTTATCTGCATTAAAGGTTACCAAGACCTTCTCAAAACACTGAGAATGAGCATCTAAACTCATTATGCTCAGAATTACTGACATTTCAAATCTAGAGTTAATACATAAATTTAATAAGGTGGTAGAAAATACCTTTTGTACACAGTGGGACTTTATTATAGCCTGAAGGATGAATTAAGGGCACATATTTCTGCTTCTCTAACGGGCTCACTGTGTCAGACATTTAGAGCTAACTGTTTATTGGCTGTTGGATGAAGAGGAACATCACTGTCATTGACCATGTTTACATGCACATAAAAATTTGGCCATATTTATATTCTGTGTGTGTCCTGTAAATGCATTAACCTGATTAACATAACTTATATTACCTTCAAATTTCAATATACCTGCATCAAGTTAAAAACTAGTTAACACTGCTGTGAGAGTGTTTCTAATACAGTGGCTGGAAGTGACGGTAAATTCATTCTCTCTTCTGATTGTCGTTATCAGTCTCTCTCTATTTTTTATTTATTCATTTATTTATTTTTTTGCTCTTTTTTAAAGTCGTGAAAGCACTCTCGTGGAATATTTAGCTTTGGCTATTTGAGCAAATGGGAATGCAAATATATATATATACAACTATGACGACTTCTGCTTCTGAGAAACCCAGAAATGTGAAATAATGAGTTGCTTTAATTACTGTGTGGAATTAATAAACACTGTGAAATGTATATCATTTCAACAGTGAAATGATAAGATGCAGATCTCCAAACTTGAAGCACACATCTTTTCAGAATAAAGATAATCCAGAATATGGATCTTAATGACAATGATGTAGCCTCCATGTGGTCACTGAGACTGCAGAGTACAGTACATGCAGTACTTTGTTAATCTAAAACTAAGCCGCATATGGATTTCCAATATTTCAATCCTGTTTTGGCAATTGAACATTCCATGACCCATCATTTCAAAATGCTGTGGCAAGAGTTTTGTCAGGTTCAGTGATGCATGGAGCTTAAACACATCAGAAATTTCTGACAACAGTGGCAACATTTAGCTGCTTAACAGTGAAAAAGTCTACTTTCTACTTAAATATTTCAAAGATGACAAAGTAATAAGACAACATTTATGCCATAAAGAAACAAAAACACGTACTAAAATGCCAAGCTAGTGCCCGCACACACAGAACTTTTCCACGAGATGCTGAACTATGCACGATTTCTAACAACCTGCTAGCCTAAATGTGCTCTATTGTTGTCATTTCATATACACACACATCAGTTCAGTGTACAGGTATCAGAGAGAACAGACATAAAAGTTGGGTCCATTTCATCATCCATTGGACATCAGGGCAAGGGCACAGATGCTTCAGAGAATGCAACTCTTCTGAGGCCTTAACTATTAATACTGAGAGACAGGTATGTCAGTTTTGATCATTGTTGTCAGCAGACATTTGAGTGTTCAGCAAAAACAACACAGGAAGGGTCCACAGCTGTTAAAAATCTAACCAGGACATGTTTACTGCTTCTGCTGAGGTTGGTGTGTACTGCCTCCGATGAGAATCATATTGTAGTTGTTCTAAAATTGTATAATAATCAATACAATTTTTAAAAGTAGTTCAATCTTGAGGTTAATTATTCTTAAAAAAAATAATAAAATAAAATATACCAAGGGAAATGTTCTCTAATTTCGCATAATTTTGCCCACACAGAGACGAACAAACACCATCAGAGTTATACACCATATATAACTCTGAATCTACCTGATAATAAAAATAAAAAAGAGACTTTTTTAACTATACAACATAAACAAATGCGATGGTTTATGTGCAGGGAAATACAGCTTTATCAGTAAATTGAGGTGACAAATCATCTTTTTACCTATAAGAATATTTCAACAATATTTCACCAATATTTTAGACTTTCTACAATATTGTAAAATAAAATTATATGCTTGTTTTTGGATAGAATTTTTACTGTTTACACTTTTTTACAATGTCAGTTTCAAGTCCAATCAAACTATTAGGGTCCCAAAAGCTATATGCTGTAAAAAGCCATAAACTGTTCACGTAGGACATCAGCAACTCTTAATATTTAAAAACCCTTACAGCTTTGTAAAATTCTCCTGCTGCAATTAACCCATTACTTTATATGCAGGGTGTAAAGATAAACAATATACAAAAAGGAAACAACAAATACAGCAAGAACTGCAATGGGATCTTATCTGATTCTTAGCGGATCCTTCAGGATGTGTTCCAAATTATGAGGAATCCTGCAGGCTACACATTCCTATAGCCTATGCTTTTCTGACTAGGTCAGGCTATTTCAAATCAAAGCCTGTGAGAAATCTAATCGAACACACAACGCATATTTGATGTAAATAACCAAATACAAGCTTTGTTAATAAATCGGAGCAACGCTGAACACTGACATATTCGCCGTTGCGTTTTCACATTTCGCACTTCAGCACTTTACACAGCAACGGTCAGATTTCGACATGGTTTACAGGCACTCGACAGCTTTAATTCAAGAAATAAGACACACAGGCTGGTAAGCGAAACAAATGAAGTGATACCCACCTCTAGTTTGCATAAACTCGAGCTTTTGGACCGCGACTTTCCGCGCAGGTACACGGAAAACCATCTTCTCACCGTAAATTTGCGCATGTTCGTATCCATTGACTCGGCTCGCCTGCAACTATCTTCAAATGACAATTTATCTGTCCAGCGTTTAAATCCAGATCAGCACAACAGTGGGGATTTACAGTCGCCTCCCCTCCACTAATCCATAATGCTCACTTATGAGGGGGGGAGGCCATGACAGAGCCAAACCTGCAGGTTCGGGGACATTTGCGGACGCTGGCCCGTACCACTCGCGCGGGCTCGCCAGTTCGGTTGTAGCACGGCAGAGATGACGGGAGCTGTCCTCCTCAGAACCACCTTCACACTCACGCTGTGCTGAAGATCCCTCCCCAATCACTGAGCTCCTTAAAGCTGAAGGCTGGCGGTTTTTTCTTTTTTTTAATGTTATACGAATTAGTTCTACCCCAAATAAATATGCTGAGGGGACTATAAGAAAGCCATTCATATGTTAATGCCCCTGAAAAAAAAAATGCTCTATGGTGCTATCAAAACAATGCTCTGATTGTTGTCTCACACTCTAAAAAATGCTGGGTTAAATACAACCCAGTGCTGGGTAAAACAGGGACAAACCCAGCAATTGGGCTGTTTTGACCCAGCGGTTGGGTTACTACCCAGAAGGTTGGGTTAAACATTTAACCCAACCACTTTGTCAAAACAGCCCAATTGCTGGGTTTGTCCCTATTTTACCCAGCACTGGGTTGAATTTAACCCAGCATTTTTTAAAGTGCACCTTTGTCACAATCAATGAGTAATTTTGGGGCAGAACTATGTTTTTCTGGCCAATGGAAAATGGGAGGAGCGTTTGGAAAAACTTGTCTTTGACTTAGTATTTTCAGAGTATGAACTTTCAACTTAATTCAACTTTTCAAATCTGACGGAGGCTGCTCCTGCACCAAAAAAAAAAAAAAGGTACAAAAGCTGTCACTGGGGTGGTACCTTTTCAAAAGGTACACTTTTGTACCTATTAGGTCTGTGCACTTAAATTAACTTTGGATTTGTATGACTATATTTTGTGTACTAAAATCAAACTCACTGAACTGAATCAGCTCAAATGATTTTCTATTTTATTGCAGCATTTTCCTGTGATGCCTGGAGTGTTTAAAGCATTTATGCCAGGTAAATACTCTGACCGCAGCTCTTTTTAGCCGCAGGGGTTTTGTGCTGAGAGCAAAGGCTAGATTGCAATGAAACAACCCCCCTCGAACAGTTTAGAGTTAAAAACATGTTGTGTTCTATAATAGTGGTGCTTATTTTATCTTGAAGTCTTTTAGTTCTTTTTTTTTTGGTGCATTAACTTTACTATATTATGTCAAGCTGCATAAAAGGTATGTCTGCATTTACATTTCTTTAGTAATTTGTAAGCAGTAGTTAGGTATTTCTTGATTATTACAAATGAGAAATATCCAACAAAATATTGCAGAATTTTCACCACACCTAATTTGTCAAATAGAATATTTAAAGGGGTCATATGATGCTGCTAAAAATAACATTATTTGGTGTATTTGGTGTAATGAAATGTGTTTATGTGGTTTAAGGTTCAAAAAACACATTATTTTCCACATACTGTACATTATTGTTTCTCCTCTATGCCCCGCCTTTCTGAAAAGCGTCGATTTTTACAAAGCTCATCGTTCTAAAAAGCAAGGTGTGCTGTGATTGGCCAGCTATCCAGAGCGTTGTGATTGGACGAATTCCTCAAGCGTGTGACGGAAATGTTACACCCCTACCATACTGTGATGCCCTGTCCGGCCGGAGCGATGAGACAAAAACATTACATTTTTGATGTTATTCACGAGGCATTATGAACGAGGCATTTGTTGCATCCAGTGGGGACATAATTACGGATTATAATGACTTACGCCCGATTCACACGGGGCGTCAGCGTTAACGCTTGACGGAGGGCGTTTCTGAAGCTTGGTGCTGACGCAACCGTCATAGTGACAACAGCCAATCACATTAGTCTTCTGGTGTTACATGAATGCGATTGGCTAGCGTCTGCGCTAGGGTATTTGCATAAGGTGATCTGATTGGCTGACGCCTGTGTTGGCACTTGAAAAGTTGAAAAGTTTTCAACTTCTGCCGCGAGCAACGGACCCAACGCGACGCGACGGACCCACAATTAATTTCGCCAACGCTTGACGTCACTCCATTCAAAGTAAACGAGAGGCGATGACGCTGACGCCCCGTGTGAATGGGGCGTTACACTGTCTTTTTACGTGTTGCGTTGCATCGTGCCGCATAAACATAAAACCATGTCTGCATTTGTGATCGGAGAAATTACAAACAACAAGTGCTACTCTACACTGCTCAAAAAACTCGCGTTTGAATCGTCAGTGGCAAATCCTTTAAATATAAAAAACGTACTTACAGTCTGTGAGTCAGAACAGCCGGCATTGTAGTCTACTCTCCCAGGATCAGGAAACAGTCCTCCATAAAATGTGCTGCACACATCTGAATATTTGGGTTAAACTGTTCTGGAACAGTGTTGTAAATACAACTTAACCACTGATTTCTAGTCGTGTCCTCTTTTGGAAGACCAAACAAAGTAGTTTCGCTTTCACAACGAAACAGCGTCACACACGGCGGCCTAGAGTGAGCAGAGGCTGGGGGCTTGAGAACGGCGCGGCCGGCGGATTCGACGAAAGAGCGTCCAGCGGGCTTGCGGCAACCACATGTGACGACCC